GAGAGAATTTACTTATAGACGGTTCTGAGCTTTGATCCGTTAAACCGAGAGTTTTATTAGACATCCGCTATACCGAGTCCGCTATACCGAGACTCACTGTGTAGTGTTCGAAATTCGATCTGCAAAAAAAAATTTTTGCGCACATTTAAATTAAATAAATTTACATACCATTTTTTTCTTTGTAGTATAATAAAGTATAACAGATAAATTGCAACATTTTTTGAAATAAATATAAATTTTATGAGTATTCGAAATAATTACAAATATTCGAAGTCTAATAATAATAATATAATAATATTTGAAATTCGTAATACAAATATTCAAATAATAATAAAGAGTTAGGATCCCTGTCCCATAAAAATGTTAGTGGGAGAATGGGTGTAATTAACAGTGATATTAAGGGATTTGATTATGTGGATCAGATGAAAATAAGCGATTTTATACTAGAGAATTGTTTTGGTTCGGTAAATGAAAAATTCGAAATTTTTGAGCACATAAATGATCAATAAATCTCGTGCCGTAGATTAATTTACTGTAATTTCATGTAACACGATGTTCACTTTGTCTGGTTTTGTTGCAGTATGCCCCATATATAATTAATTGTCTTTAAATTATACACAATAAGCATTAAACTATCTTATTTTTTATTTTCTCATATTCCGACGCTTACTAACTGGTCTAGCATATGGCCTATTTTGAACTGGTCTAGCTGCAGAGCTACCACCACTATTACCACTACCACCATCATAAAAATTGAAAATTGGTAGTGGTGCTTGTGTACCATTATTATTATTATTATTATCATCATTGTTACTATTATTATTATTAGGGAAACTAAAGATTGTATTATTGGCAAGTCCTCCCTGATATGGACTAATATTATTGTTGTTGTTACTGCCATTACTTTGACTTCCACCAAAAGAAAAAATAGGCTGCTGCTGCTGCTGCTGCTGCTGCTGTTGCAATTGGATTGGAATCTGAAATTTAAATGGTGTTGTTGCTGATGATGTATCAGATGAAAAAAGTTGAACTGGTGGTGATGTTCTAGGAACATTTACACTGAAGTTAAATGAAGCACCACTGCCATTACCACTAACACCACCAAAGCTATTACCACTATCAAAACCATTACTACCAAATTGCATTGATGATTCATTAGGATTTTTTCGAACAAAATCAGTTTTAGGATTAATTAATATATTTCGAGTATTTTGAGGAAAAAAATCTCCAGGACGTTTTCGACTTTGATTATTATTATTATCATTGTTATTGTTTTTGTTGTTATTATCACCATCATTATCAGCAGCAGCAGCTGATATATTATCCCACATTGATTGATGACCAAACAATGAATTATTTCCAAAAGTTTGTGGTGTTGTTTGTGGTGTTGATGGATTACTAGATAAATTTGGCAAAGAAGCCCATGGCTTTGTTGTATGTGTTATAGCTGTATTTATTTTTTGATTAGTGACAGAAGGTGTAGTGATGGAAGAAGCAACAGCAGGATCAGTAACAGTAGTAGTGTGAGAAGTAATGGTTGTGGCAGAACCCATGTCAATATCCATTGAATCAGGATTTGAACCTATGCCCAAAGATGTTGATAGTTGTTGTTGCGGTTGTTGTTCAGCAGTTTGAGAAAAAGAAAATAATGGATTGATTGAGGGTAAAGGTGTTTGCTTAAAAAAATCTTTATTATCATCCTTATTTTTAATATCTTTAGTTGTTGCAGAATTAACAACAGATTTAGCAGATAAATCAGCTGGAGGAGATGGGTTATTTTTTGTGTTAAATAATAAATTATTTTTATTATTGTTGAAAAAGTTTGGTATTTTATCCTCATCATTCAGTTTTGATGAATTAGTAGAAGAAACATTTGATATTCCAAAATTATTATTATCATTATTATTATTTGAATTTGTATTTGCATGAGACAAATTGTCACCAACAACTTTAGATTTGATGTAATCAGTAGTTGTGGTAAAAAATGGAAGAGAATTTAATAATGGTGTATTTGATGATTTAGATTTTTCATCAGATGCTGTTGTTGAAGCTTCATTGGATGGCATAGTTGTAGTAGACAATTTTGGCTCTTGTGTTTTATTAAAATCAAGTGTTGGTATTGAGATTTTTTTGTTAATTTGACTTGTTGATGATGTCAAATGAGTTGATTTGATAAGACTACTGCTGATAGATTCCCTTTTTTTAACATTAAGGATTGGACTATCATCATTCTTATTAATATTATTCTTATTCATACTATTTAAATCATCAAAAAAACTGCTAGGAAAACTTGAAATGGGTTTAGAATTATTCTTATTGTTATTGTCATTGCTGTCATTATTATCATTGTTGTTATTTGAAATTGTGATTGGTGATTCATTTGGTAAAGGAATTTCTACTTGATTTTGTATTTGTTTATTATCAACTTTATTACTATTATTTAATAATTTATCAAAAGTTGTCAAAGATGGTAATGGTGTTGGCAATGATATTGTTGGTTTCTCAATGACAACATTACCATCAACCTTTTGTTTTGATGAATCAAGCCGCAAGCTATTATTTTTTGAAACAGAATTTTGAACAGGTGAGGAAGATGATATACTAGTTATATTGTTTGTGGTACTACTATTTCTATTATTATTATTATCATCATTACTACCACTACTACTAACAGCTTCATTGTTATTATAATTATGCGTGCCAAATAAAATTTTAGTATCAATCTTATTTGAATTTTCAACAAAATCAACATTTATTTTGTTTAAATTATCAAATTCAAATTTCTTTGAAGCAGGCTTAAATATTTTTGTCTTTTCTTGATTGTCATCATACAAAAGTGATGAATTCGATTTTGGATTTTGATCTCGCAATTGAGCAAAATTTTTATACCAAAAAGGATTGATTTTATTATTACCCTGATTTAAACCGAACGTTGATGATATCTTTGATGATACAGGTGAAGTAACTTCAGAAAGCCTTTTGTTACAATTTAAAAAAAAATCAACATCAACATCATCATCATCATCAATAATATCTCTTGCAGAGTATTTTCTCCCACCAATAATTGGAATGCTTTCTCTTTTCAAATTTTCAGTAGTAATAACACTAGACCCAAGATTATCAATATTATTGTTGTTGCTGTTGTAATTATTATTGTTCTTGTTGTTCTTGTTGTTATTTGTAGTTTCTAAATTAACATTATTGGTGAAAATTATTTGTTCGAGATTTTGGCTTGCCATGTTAGAACTTGTTCGTTGAAGACCTGTTGTTTCTTCTAAAGTGGTGGCGGTGGTAGTGGTGGCGGTGGTAGTAGTAGTAGTAAGTCTCTTTAACCAGTTTGAAAAGTAATTATTGAGATGACCGAACATATTATTTATATATAACCAAATATTGTTTGAATTTGTGGTACTAGCTACAGTACCAATTCTTTCGTAAGGTCTTCTTGAGTGAATCCGATTTTTACGAGACCTAATGGGACCATTATTAGATGATAAAGGCTCCATCATTCAAAAAAAAAAAATATTATTATTATATTAATATACTATTATTATTATTATTATATTTAGAGGAGGACAACAAAAATACAAAAAAAGAAAAATTTGTCATGCATGTATCACTTTTTTTATACATACTGCTGCTTTCTAATTGGATGACATTAATCCTAATATTTTTTGTCTTACTATGTAAAAAAAAGCATATTGTTAATCTGATTTGGACTAGGTCAAATTTGCATCGCAGTTCACGATGGGGGTGATAATAGAATAGACCATAAAACGCTAAATCAAGGAGAATCCGCCAGACTATAAGTTGCATGATTTTTTTAATGGCATTTATATATCTCACCGCTCTGTGTGATCATAGGTCAATTCAAAAAAAGGAAAATGGTTCATATTTGTTAGTTAAAAATGAAAGAATATATCCTTGATAATGTCATTGGAAATCCGGGACAATCAGAAAATCAGACAGCAGGAGGGATATAATTAGAATTTGTATTCATTAGTAGTAAACCAGGATATTTCCAAGAAGATGCAGGTGGTGGTAAACATCAAGAGCGAATAATATATATGTGTTTTTATACATATTTAATAAAATATTGTTACGCCTTTTTTGGGCGCTAGTTTTATAATTCATCAATTACATGATACCAAATATCAGATGCGAATGCATGGGTTTGAAACTCTAAGCTTTGCATCTCCTCGCTTTGTGAGACTGATTTGTAATACTTTTGCCTCCACTGCAAAATTTGTAGACGTCAACATCCATGTTTATCCAAGATTAATCGGAATTTAAATTTTTGTGGACATTATTAACTGACAAAATAGAATTATTTTTCTGTGAAAAGCAGGGCTGGATACAAATTATCTGGCTAAAAATTTGTATGAATTGAGTATGGTTTTTTCTTTCATAATATCATCAAGCCATGCAGTACTTAGCCCCGAAGCCAATATACTGTGACGCAATAACTCTTCACCAATTAACCTATCTCGATCTGTCAATTATATATATTTTTTAGGATCTTCCCTTGCTTTACTGCAGAATGATAAAAATGCATATCTCTTTCTAGTTCGTCATGGAAATATTTTACGTCCCACCTTTTTTTCTCAGCTTCAGTAATGATCAAGAATTGTTCAAGACCAACCATAACTATAAAGATGGGGGAGTTGATATATATAGGTTGGGTATTGATGTGTACTCGAGTTGAAGTGAAAAAGTGTTGTTAGAAGTACTCCATCAAAGATATTATC